CCAAAGTGTTCATAAATTACAACAATTTAAGTTTGGATAGTGCACTTTCATGCCTATTTAAAAAAATGGGGGGTGACCGTTAAGGGGTTAAGCTTTATATTGTACCGTGTTCATTGAAAGAGCCAGAGGCTGAGATTGCAGATGTTTATCTGGCTCCTAACACTAATTTTTCCAGGACTTTCTCTCCAGGTGATGATCCCTGTTTCACTGTACGTGTCCATTGAGCTGGTGAAGATGGGGCAGATCTTCTTCATCACTCAGGATGTGGAACTGTACGACGAGGAGCTGGCTACGTCTGTGTTCTTTAATGAGCGCATTGTTAGTAAATCACGCGCAGAATTTTCCGTACCGTGTTCATTGAAAGAGCCAGAGGCTGAGATTGCAGATGTTTATCTGGCTCCTAACACTAATTTTTCCAGGACTTTCTCTCCAGGTGATGATCCCTGTTTCACTGTACGTGTCCATTGAGCTGGTGAAGATGGTGCAGATCTTCTTCATCACTCAGGATGTGGAACTGTACGACGAGGAGCTGGACAGTCGGGTCCAGTGTCGTGCTTTGAACATCACTGAGGACTTGGGACAGATCCAATACATCTTCTCGGATAAGACAGGGACGCTCACAGAAAACAAGATGGTGTTCAGGCGCTGCTCCATCATGGGGACTGAATACTGTCATGAGGAGAACGGTGCGGTTGGAGAGTTTGTCTCTGTGCTGATTACTATAATATAAGCTTTTAAATAGGGCTACCCTCGACTAAAGATTTTTCTGGTTGACTAGTAGTCGTTAATTTTAAGCATTAGTCGACTAATCGTACGTTTATTAATAAACCATTTAAATCATGCTAATGAGCCTTTAATTGTGAGGCTTTACAGAGTCGAAAGATGTATTTGTCAGACTCTGTTCCGTGTTTTGTGGTTGTTTTCCTCATGTGCCTTCCTTTCCCATGTTTAATTTGTCCCAGGTGTTTCCCATGATGGCTCATTGCTCCCAGGTGTGTCTCGTCATCCCCTCCTCCTGTGTGTATAAATAGTGTTCCCTGTGTGTGCTCCAGCGTCCGGTATTGTTCAGGTCATGTTCATGTCTATGTCTACATGTATTGCGTGAGTGGTCCCTTGTATTAATTAAACCCATTTGGATTGATGTACTCCTCGTCTCTCTTCGTTCCTTGCTCCTCAGTCCGCTCAGCAGTGCTCCTCTAAAGCGTTTTGCTGTGCCTGCTCCTCCAGAGCACCTTCCAATGCCAGCAACACTTAAGCGCTATCCGGATCCCGAATTAAGCCCAGGAAGGGCTCCTGATCCCCAGTTAAGCCCACGGAGGGCTCCTGTTCCCCAGTTAGGCCCACGGAGCAGTTAAGCCCAGGGAGGGCTCCTGTTTCCCCGTTAAGCCCAGGGAGGGCTCCTGTTACCGATGTCAGCCCAGGGAGGGCTCATGTTTCCGATGTCAGCCCAGGGAGGGCTCCTGATCCCCAGTTAAGCCCAGGGAGGGTTCCTGTTCCCCAGTTAAGCCCAGGGAGGGCTCCTGTTCCCCAGTTAAGCCTACGGAGGGATCCTGATCCCCAGTTAGGCCCACGGAGGGCTCCTGATCCCCTGTTCGGCCCAGGAAGGGCTCCTGATCCCCAGTTCGGCCCAGGAAGGGCTCCTGTTCCCCAGTTAAGCCCAGGGAGGGCTCCTGATCCCCTGTTCGGCCCAGGAAGGGCTCCTGTTCCCCAGTTAAGCCCAGGGAGGGCTCCTGATCCCCTGTTCGGCCCAGGAAGGGCTCCTGTTCCCCAGTTAAGCCCAGGGAGGGCTCCTGATCCCCTGTTCGGCCCAGGAAGGGCTCCTGTTCCCCAGTTAAGCCCAGGGAGGGCTCCAGGCCCCGAATACAGCCCCGTAAATTTCCCCAAGGATTTTTTTGGGGGGGGTAGTATGGCTTCAGCCGTAGAGACCGAGGCGGGGGCTGGGGCCGCGGCCCCGTAGTCCCCAGATCCGCCATGGCCTCCGGAGTCCCCAGATCCGCCATGGCCTCCGGAGTCCCCTGCTCCGCCATGGCCTCCCGATTCCACTGCTCCGCCATGGCCTCCCGAGTCCCCGGCTCCGCCATGGCCTCCCGAGTCCCCGGCTCCGCCTTGGCCTCCCGAGTCCCCGGCTCCGCCTTGGCCTCCCGAGTCCCC